CTTTAGTCTTCCGAGAGAAGTATTGACTAGGAACTATATATAATTTATGTACCTCTGAGCCCTATGAACCATCTAAACCCTTTTCGGACACCACTTGCAGTGGCAATGGTAGGAATTTTGGGACCTACACACAATTTTCTGCAATGTGCTCCCTCTGTAAAGATTGCATTGCCTTCTTTCATTGGAAAAAACAGGCTTTGAACCCCCACTAGACTTAAATGCATCCCTTCACCCCCCAACCCCTCTACCTACTTACTATTACCCTGCCCCTGGTCAAAACAGCTTCGGATTGGTGATGATGCAACGTGACCAGATCCTGACAGCAAGACGGTAGGGACAATGTTGGACCTATAGGGGCTGTTTACACCTGGTCACTTCCTGCTTTTTTCTGATCTGATTTGTGAAAACAATTCTATTTGCATTTGGCCACATAAATGTGCCTCTGTTAAATGATTCAGATCCTATGCTATATTCAAATTTTACTCTGTTATTTGGTTATTTATATTATCCTCAGATGCGTTTCAGAGGACATTCGAACCTACCCATTTCATGATCAGATGGCTATCCGATCAGAAAAAGAGCATGAAGTGACCAGGTGTAGACAGTCCAGGATAACTGCCTTCACTTCATTCATTACATATTCTATGATTTTTACATAATAGTTCCATATTTCAATCCTCTTTTGGTCATTTAGTCCACTAGATTCCCAGTTTACACTGAGTTTATGAAATGATTTATAAACATGGCTGTGCTGAAATTGTTTCGGAAATGCTAATGTACTTAACCAAGCAGTAGTTTTCTGGTGCAATATGACTAGGGGCCTGTATTTCAGATCTAAATGATATTTCTGATAAAGACTGCAGAGGAAATTACTTCTATATTCAGTTTCAAGCTTGACAGGCAAGGAAACCAATACATCGTTTGAAGTGGTAGTCAGTAAGTAGCCTTGCACTCGTTCCCTGATTGTACATGGCAGCCATCTAGCTTAGCAGCTAAAGTAACACTCTTTTCCAACAGTTGTTTCAGGTTAAAGCTGAAAATGGTTACTGCCTGGGATCTGGAGGCATTTATACTTACTTTTGTCCAAGAAAGTGCATGACAGTGCTCTTAATTTTTCTGGCAAAAGGAACCATCCATGGAACGGTCAGTCTGGACATATGCGGGCAATTAGCTTGAAGTTAGCTTCGCCTGATCTGAAGCACAGAATTGTTTTGACAAGAAATAAGGGTAAGTTGTGTCTAAGCTAAGCAGTTGAACTGCTATTAAAATGTGACAGGTCTCTTGAGAAGTTTCCTTACATTAGCAAGTCTGTTATTACTAATTATTTAGTTTCAGTGAGGCATGAATCCCCCTCTGCTTTTAATAAAAATGAATGGTACCGATATGCAAATAGTGGTTTAATGACATATTGACAGTATGTAAACACACTTCGTAATAATGGGGTGAAATTACTCCAATTTAAGCTTCAATGATTAAGGTTCCACCCCATAGTTATTAGTTGATTAGAGCCAATGGCACATGACACTTGTCTGTATAGTGATAATTGCGTTAACTAGCAACCCACTTTGATGTTAAATCTCAAAGAACTGTGCTGACGAGCCTGACAATGGTGGCCGCTGTCTGGGAAATCAAAGTGGTGCAATTAGTTTGCAATTAGCTTACTGGTTTACTTTTTGATCTGTGATGTCCTAGTCTGATGAATGACATTCAATGATGTTTCTAAATAGCTATTGGGTTTTGGTACATCCAAAGTGAATATCTTTTTTCTTTTTTTGTTTTTTTGGTAAGGCTTTGTTTTTGACACCTTAGCTGTTTCATGTACCTTGGCAATAAATATGTGAATATTTTAGGGTAGTGATGGAGTTATTTTCTGAGATCAGAGCATACTTGAGGTCAAAGCATTAGGCAGCTGACTCTATAAAGTCTTTGATCCAGAAAACGGCTGCATTGCACACGTGCTTTTGGCACTCGACACTGTGGAAGACAACACCACGAATGACATTTTATGTTTAGAGCTTGCACGCTCTCACACTCTCCCTCTCTCTTTGCCCCATTGCCCCTAAGACACCAAATCTCATCCAAGCATAATGAATGAGACAAATGAAGCAAGTAGGCCCCCTCCAGCTGATATACACACACAAGGTTCTCGCTGCACCTGTGAGCCTCATTTAGGTTTGTAGAAGAAAGAGGGCCCTTGCAGGGGTTAATTCTGTGTCTCTCTTTTGTATGTTGGAAAGGGGGCTTTTTTGATTTTGCTCTGCACAGCCTAAGTGACCTCCTGCAGGGTCTTTAGGCTTTACTGACACAAGAACAGCTCATAGTGTCCTATTCTAGAGGCCTCAACAAACTTAGTCCTAAAGATCCACACAGATTTTGTTTCATCTTATGAATTCACAAATAATTGACGTTCTCTTGAGATCTGAGATCTAAGTAAGCTTACTTAATCCAGCTAAGCTAATCTAAAACCATGTCTTAGATTAGAAAACTTTTTTCCAGAAACAATAACAGGTATTTTTTGTCAGTGATCATGTCCACTAGGGTTGTTCACAACTTTTCTCCCTCAAAGGATTTTAGAAATGTCTGTGTGTGGGGGTTGGTGTCCGGCTTTGGGGTTTGAGGTGCGGCATGTACTAAGTGTATAGTTGTAAGGGGGTGGGGTCACACTTTGTGAATTCAGTCAATCTAATTTGAGCTCTTCCCCTGAAGCCCTCGTCCCTTTTCCCCTTTTCCAAACCTCATGTGAACCAAGACCGGGGGTTCTCGTGCTCCTGATGAAAATAGTCTTTGTTGTTCTTAATCTAATATCCTGTGCATTAAACAGCAGTGAAAAAAGGAATCCTGCAAAAGTATCTGTTTTCACCTAGGAGTTCCGCTGAATGCAATGGCCGGAAAATACATCAGTTGCACAACAGAATGCAAATAGCATTAAGTCATGAAGAATGCATTTTGCTGGAAGTTGAAACATTCTAAAACTATGTTCTGATAAAATGCTTAAATAGATTGATAAAATAAGGAAAACTCTATTAAAACAATTACAGTGAGTGGTATTAAGCCTGAATCACATTTCCTTCCACTGTAAAGTCCCAACTGTAAATGAAGCTATATGAAAACTAATGTTTTGCATTGCAGTTTTTATCTGTTTCTCCTGCCTCTCCTGAAACTGTCATTAATCTAGAATGCCTCTTAGATCTACATTAGCACAAAAAAAGGTGAAAGTATAAAGGAAAGAAGATGTTAGCCTTCTCTCTGGCTACTTGAGTAGAGTATGTGATGACGAGCTCGTCTTGTTTGTTTGATTTAAAGCTTTTGAGGGGTTTGTCAGGAGTGAAGATTGATCAGTGTTTGAGTTTGGTCTGGCCTAACTGAAACTTTTACCAGGTGTGAAAGCAGTTTTAAAGAATGCTAATAGGTCACTTAGCAGCCTTTGTTTTCATTTCCTCGACTGATGAACTTTGTTGCCAAGATAGTGCTTAATCAGGGTTAGCATGTTTATTGAACTGTGGTTTCATAAATGACAAGCCATTTTCTGTTGATGTTTTACTAATCTGAAGATTTAATTCCCCTAAAGACTGCTTTTGGTTGTTTTCTGCACCAAATTCCAGCAGTTTTAGCTGTTTCTTGTTTTAGTTGCAAAACGATCAGTAGCATAACTACTTTATCTGTGTTTGTTTGTTTTGTTTATGTATACATTATCCTGCAGATGTTGAATTTAGTCCTAATATCTTCAAACACTAACAGACATTTTTATTTATTTATTTATAATTTTAAGTGAAAGAAGAAAGGATTATGTATGCATTTTTTTTCATATAGACAAAACAAAGCATGACAAATAAATTATTAAACAATTGCAATTTTAAATTGTGCAGTTTTGAATAGTATGATCCATCAAAAACATAAGTTAATTAATTAATAATCTAGCCCTATTTAGCCTTAACTAAACACAATAAATATCTCTTCAAGCACCAGACATTTTTATTTATTTATTTATTTATTTATTTATTTATAAAAGAATAAATTATGTATGCATGTATGTATACTTTTTTCTTCTTATTGACAAAACAAAGCAAAATTAACAAAACAAAATTATTAGACAATTGCAATTTTAAATTGTGCAGTCTTGCATGGTATATGATCCATCAAAAATTTAAGTTATAATATATATTGTATAAAAATATTCAATATTTAATTTGAAAAAAAAAAAAATCTAAATGGTTCATGGTAATGGTTACAAAAATATGTCAGTTAAATTTGTCAAACATTTGTGGAAACTTTGTATTAATGTTTCTTTTAAAAAGAAATCTTCTAACCAAAGATTACATTAAGTATTTGACACTGTTTTATAGTTATGAGTCTTGTAAACTCATCTGCCATTTACACTAAAGAAAACACTCCACTAACCTAAAACACAACAGTAAATAAGTCAGCAAAACTTAAAATTCAGTCCAACATTTGAAGCAGTTTCAATCCAGCACAGCAAAAGACAGTAGCTGAAATAAAAGCCACTAAATAGCGCTAATGATCCCGGGCTCAGTCTCTTATCTCTGTAAAATCTGTTTTGCTCTTAACTTAAGGCAGTAGATTGCGAAGGACAGGAATGCTGCTGGGACAGCTGAAGATTTATAACAGGGAGGTGTGAGTTGGGCAAATGTAACAGTGAAGTGCAAACAGCAGGGCATTGTGGTCTATGCGAGACTTTCTTTCTTTAACTGACCACGCTGTCTTTATGGCACTTCTTTCCTCTAGGCTTTACAGGGTACTACAGTACAATGCAACTATCTGTGCAAGTAAGATTTGAGGAACCCCAGGCTGCTTCTATGGGATTCCTGTGAGCTACAAGTGGCAACATAACTGTTCAGAGACATGCTGCTCTCTCTCCCTCCCTCCCTCATTCGCATTCTCAGTCCCCTCCCTCCTCCTCTCCTCTCTCTCCTCCCTCTCTCTCTCTCTCTCTCTAAATCTCAGGTTACTGTGGCTGGAGTTTTTAGACATCTCTGACTAGTGTTTCCCTTATGTCCTTGTCCCTGCCTCCAGCCTGGGAAGAGCCACCCAGTACCCTCTCTGATTGGACTGGGTAGTTTGTCTTGATGCACCACTGTGCTGAGTGCTGGAGGACGTGTTTCAACAGATGGTTGGGGTTAGTGTGTGTCATCACATTGGAGAACGGATTAGAGGAGGAAGGTTGTCTTCCAGGAGCAGTGTGGTCCCCACAAACACTCTGAGGAGCTCAAGAGCAAACAACCCACAGCGAGAAACAGAGAGAGATCAGCTTCATGAACAAGACTGACATCCAGGTAGTAACACTTCTAATTCACACTCAGTTTGTTTTTCCTTGGAGGCTTGGGGGTTTTCAGACAATCTGCAATGGTTTTTGGCTGTCTCATTTGGAGAAGCCCATGTAAAGCTGAAGTGCTGTCAGGGTTGGGGTTCTGAATGAGAGATTGTGGTTTTTAACTGATGCAATGTGTTTTGCATGATATGCAAGCTTTAATGAAGCATTTAATTAGATTTTGACTGCATGAACATGACTTAATCTTTTGGACGTTTGTATATATTTGGTTGAGACTGAGCCTGCACATGTTGCCGGCAAACACATTCAGTGGAATGAGTTGTTTAAATTAGGTGTTTCTTGCATTAAGTAGCATTAAGAACATCTCTGGGACCAATTTGCAACATATGCAAACATAGTTGCCACTCCAAAGAAATCATGTCACAAGTTTCACTCAACTCCAGTACACCAAAAAAAGAGAGACCTGCCAATGAAGAACTAGATGTCTAGCATTAATGTGTTGCTCCCGGGCATGTATACAGCGCGAGGTGTTTGCTGAGGGGACTGTACAGCTGTAAGGCGAGGGGGCAGAAGAATGATGCCAGGAATGCCACAAAGACAGAGTTGTGTGAATGATGTTTATTTACACACATAAATCAGGCATGTCAACATCACTCACTCACTTGCACGCTGAAATTCATTTGAGAAAACCACAAATACATCAGCACCAGTGTTGAGATTTTACAATGAGGGCAGTCATTACCAGTGATGACTACAGGACTTGAATTCAGTTCTCATTTAGTGTGTTTTCATTTCTGTGGATTTAGTTATGCCTTATTAGTTGATTTTTTTTTCTCCACCTTTAATTTCGTTGGTGCTTGACAAATCCTTTGAGAGTTGATGCTTATGCAGACGTTACCTTGCGTTGAATCGATTTAATGCACAAGTAGATTTGATTTATTGAGAGTTTGAAAATGACCTTGATAAATCAATCTTGATGGGTTGCATTAGTTGCCAAAAAAGGCTTTTATGGCATCTTTTATATGAGCCGTATGTAATTAGGTGTTGTAGCTGTGAGGTCTTTCGAGGAGATCTAAACGAAAGCCTTGTTTGAGTTTGAAAGCAGACAATACCCTTGACCTGAGCGTTCTTTGCAAACAGAACCATGCCGTAAATTTGTCAAGGTTCTTCATTAATCATTTGCACCAGGTGCAATTACTTTTAACCATACAAGCCTGTTTTTAATTGATCTGTTTCTTAAATAGGGAAAAGGGGGGAAATTGTCAGTTAAGCAAGTTTGTCGTTTCAAACCTGTATGACTTTCTTTTGTGGAATATTGTCCCAGTCAGTCTTATTCTTAAAGTGGTTCCAGATTGTCCAAAATAAGTGAAATATTAAAGTGGTTTATTCATCTTGTGCACTATATCCCAAGTCCTCTGAAGCTGTGTGATAGATTTGTGAGATAAATGGATCAAAATTGTGGAGCTTGACAGCCTGGATCCTTATTCCATTACCTCACTGGAACACAAAAGTGTAAATATTTCATATCTCTTTTCCACATAACGAAAGACAAACATGTTTGGAATGATATAAGATTGAGCGAATTTTCATATTTGGGTAAACAGATACATCATGCTTCTTCCAGCATCTTTGACATAAAACCACAGCAATCTCTCAAAGTCTAAACAGTCACTGCAGCTGTTGCGAATAATTTGCAGTTCTAGATTTGGATCTGCCAACACTAATATTGTTTCAGTAGCTGTTAGGTCTTTTGGAGAGTTTGACCGGGGATCAGCTGTACTGTGAGTGCGGGACCAGGAGAGAGCTTGAACTCTCTGCTCTGTGCATGTGTGTGAGAGATCAGTTGGATTCATTTCGAAGAACAACTGTGGGGATAATTTCTGTGATGTTCAATTTAGATTTCATTCTTTGTCTTTGTGTCAATATCCATACGCTGTGATTTAATATCCTGCATGGCTTCTCGGTTTTCCTTAAAAAAACTTTGGACATGTGTAAAGTATTTAACCCCTGCCATTTGTGTTCACTTACCGGCTCAAATCAAAAGCAGCGGGAACCCTTATGCCACTGCGCTGCACGGCTCTTGTGCCATTTATTAAATGCCTCTTTGCCTTTAACTAGTCGCATATATTCGCTGCTGCTCTGTCAAACAAATCACAGTTGCCAGGGTGCTGGACATTTAACAGCCCGTATGTATAGTCTTTTCTGTCAAGTGCTGGAAAAATGGCAGCATATGGAGGTGACCACTGGTGCCAGCTGTTCCCAAGATCCTCAGAGGAGCACCATTGTGTTAGTCACACAGCCATTCCAACCACATGGACATTAAAAGTCTTGTTTAGATAGGCAGTGAGAGGAAATTGAGCCACACTGTCTAGTGGCTGTTTATCTCAGCTTAATAATAGTGTTCCTGCAGGAAGTGAGGTGGTAATTTAAAAGGGAAGGGTGGTTGACATCATTGCTATAATTGAGTTGACAGGGTTTTAGTATTATGTTGTTTTGCTTATCTGTGGCTCATGGCCTGATGCTGTGCTTCTGCAGGTCTCCCTTCATGAATGGGAGTCATGGTTGTTTAGATGATCCCTGCTGTTGTAAGTACGGCAAACTAATGGAAAACTTTGTTAGTGTAGGAGCTCTCAGTAGCACCCCCATGTGCTTGAAACGTGTCATGCTATTGAGTCAATGTACAATGTATTGGGTCATATTACTCCTGTTCTTCAGCAATTTCATTGGTTACCTGTTAAGTCAGGTATCGATTTTAAGAATCTGATTTTAACTTACAAAACAGTACATGGGCTAGCTCCTTATTACATTTGTGTCTCTTTCTACTCTTGCTCGTTGTCTTGGCTCTGTTTTGAGATTTGCCTTGTTCTAGCTATGTTGCAGACTGAACACCATGGGTGGTTGGGTGTTTTCATAGTGTGCACTGAAATTATGGAATGCATTACCCATAACCATTAGGAATGCCCGTTCAGCTTCACTGTCATTTTATTCATTTGCAACATTTTATTTATTGTCTCTTTTCTGTTTTATGCTACTTACCTTGTAGAGCTTTGAGTTTGAGAAAAGTGCATGACAAATAAATGTATTGTTATCATGTAGGCAAATCAAGTGCAGACACCACTCATCTTGCCAAATCAAAAAATCCATTTGGAGATTCTCCAGGCAAAATAACAGTTCTTTGAAGACTGGCTGTATTAAAAATCCTCGGCAAGAGGTGGTACTCTATTTTAAACCTAAGGTTATTGAGATCCCTTAAAACATATAATAGGGGTTTAAAGCAACCTCTGAGTGGTTGTCTAAAGAACTCAAAATGGAATTTTCAAGAATTGAATTTGACCCCCTTCCTAACAAATCCAAAAAACATTCTGGAGTTAGGTGTTAACTATTAAGCTGCCTTTCCACTGCACATGACAAACGACAAGCAACAGACCAAAAGTCATTCATTTCCAATGGAAAGTCCAAGAGCTGCATGGAGTTTCAACCATTTCCGTAGGCAGAAAATTTAGATCTGATTTGAGCTGTGGATCCGTTAAACTGTTTGAACTCCTGCGACTAGACCGTATGCAACCGGATGTGATGTTTTCCAGTGTTGCTCAAGCAGGTCCGTGCATGCAAGATGAGAAATTATTTATTTTTTTAGTAGTTATATTTGGAATAAGAAAAAAGTCTATATTAAAAAAAAAACATTTCTATTCATAGATAAGTAATAAAAATATATATATATTTTTTATGTTGTCTCTACGCTCTCTACATTCACTTCAAACTTTATAGTGGTCTTTGAGTTTATAGTATTCAGTTATTCATTCAACCATGGTGAACGAACAGAGAATAAAAGCTCTTGTTTTTGCACTTCTTTATTTCAGGCACCGCGAGAACAGCTTCTCTCCCATGGTGCACGACAAAACAAAAAATTCTGTGTGACTGCCACAGGGAAGCGTATTCCCACAATCGTGTCAGAATGTCGTGTGCAGTGGAAAGACGGCTTTAGGCTTCTTTAAACATTCGGTAATGTAAAAGATCCATTTGTTATTTGTTTTTGTTTTTTTTTTTTAGTTATTTTATTATTTTTTTGAGATTCATACTGGAACTGGTCAGCAAGAATGGCAAAAATGTTGTTGGCTTGTTCAAAGAATCAGCAGTATGTGTTAGTCATGTTTCATGATGCTGAAAGCCTGAAGGATAATTTATGCCTCTTTTCCACTTATACTGTTCTGGTACTGGTTCCCAGCCTGTGCGTTTCTCTTTTTTATTCCAAGCAGAAAAGATCACCCCTAAAACCTTTATGCTCTCAAACTTACCTGGGTAAATGAGAAAGGCTATGGCAGTCTTATTGAGCACTGAGCAATAATGTCCTGTATGTCTACATACATTTTTTTTAAGTGCACAAAAGGATAACCCAGAGTGCGAGAGTGCAAAACCAAGGGTTTCATTTTCAATATACCTTGAAAAAGATTTTATACCAGTTCCAGCTATGCAAGCTGTCAGGGCTAAAATCATTGCTGGAACTTTGAACAGAACAAAAATCGGACATATCTGCAGAAATACCAGTGTATGCAATGTTTGTTTTCTGGCTGGTTATAGTAAGACGAACAATGCATTGCAGTATTATGTCATCATGTATTCTCCAAGGTTGTGAAAAGTTGTAATTTGTCTGGCTGAGAATGAGTGTAGAATAAGCTCAGGCTTTACAGTGCAGAACCATTCTGATGAAAAAAGTGGTATGAGAAGAACTATCCTGTGTGAAGAGAAGTTTTTTTTTATTATTATTAATTGTTGGGGAAATTAAATACACTTGGAAGCTTTTGCCAAAGAGTTTCTCATTGGACTTTAGAGGGTAGAGCTAGAGCTAATGTACTGTTTCCTTGATTTATTGTATTTTGATGTTCTTATTGGCTATGGATGGCATTGTCCATACCTTGTTAATTCTGCTGTGCAATATTGTACAGAATCTGCAATCCTATTTAAGGTTGAAAGAAAAAATTGCCTGCCTATATCATGCAATTAAGC